CAAAACTTCAGTTACAGCTTGAGCTAAGGCTCTATATTCAGCTTCAATGCTGGATCTGGCAACAAGTAGTTGTTTCTTGGACCACCAAGGCACAAGATTAGGACCAAGATAGAGACACGCTGCTGAAGTGGATCTTCGGTCATTTGGATCAGACGCCCAATCAGCATCAGTGAAAGCAGTGAGATTGAAGGGAGTCGTGTGCTGTGCAAGTGAGAATACAAGTCCATGACCGACAGTTCCTTTTAGGTATCGAAGAATACGTTTGACAACTTTCCAATGCTCTTCCATGGGAGAGCACATGAACTGACTTACCTTGTTAACACTGAAGGCAATTTCAGGCCGTGTAATTGTGGCATATTGCAATGCACCAACTACGGACCTGTACAATGTAGGATCATCAAATAGAGTACCACCTTTAGCAAGCTGTTGGCCACCAATCATAGGAGTGGAGATGCCTTTTGAATCTTCCATGTTGACCTTAGTAAGGAGATCAATAATATACTTATCTTGAGAGAGTAGCAGCTTTCCATGAGAGAGAGATTTAACTTCAATGCCTAAGAAGTAGTCCAGAGTGCCAAGATCTTTAAGGGAAAAGGTAGCATTGAGTTGAGTGACAAATTTTTGTATCAAGGAAGGGGAATTTCCAGTAAGAATGATATCGTCAACATAGACAAGCATAAAGACAGTTGCATCGGATGTGAAGAAAGTGAAGAGGCTAGGGTCACACTTGCTTTTGCTGAATCCAAGCATGAGTAGGACAAACGTGAGTTTGTCAAACCATGCGCGAGGAGCCTGTTTGAGGCCATAAAGGGATTTGTGTAACTTACAAACAAGACTTTTATTGGCAGAGTTAACAAAGCCAGGGGGTTGAGACATATAGATGTCCTCCTCAAGCATGCCATTGAGGAAGGCATTATTGATATCAAGTTGTCGAAGAGGCCACCGGAAGGAGACAGCAAGAGAAAGAACAATGCGAATCGTTACAGGTTTTACAACAGGAGAAAAAGTTTCAGAAAAATCCAAACTGGGTTGCTGATGGAAGCCTTTTGCAACCAGCCGAGCCTTATATTTATTTATTGAGCCATCAGGATTCTCTTTGACACGAAAAACCCATTTGCAGCCAATGGGTTTTCTGCCAGGTGGGAGAGTAGTTAACGTCCAGGTGTTGAAAGGTGATTTAATGTATCTTTTAAATATTCCAACATCATTTCATGCTCATACATGTTCGTGTTCATGTTGGGATGCAAGCAAAGTCCCACATCATTAAATTAAGAGGATGAGGATGGACATGTTGAGATGCAAGTAAAGTCTCACATCATTCAAACAAGAGGATGGACATGGATTTATATATACACAGTTGTCTCCATTAGTAGAGAGGCCTTTTGGGTGATATCCAAAAGCAAAACCGTGAGGGCTTGGACCCAAAGCGGACAATATCTCACCAACATGGAGACATGTGTATGTGTGTGGTAACCTCTTATGCTCAACAAGTGGTATCAGAGCTAATGGTTTGATCAGGTGACCGGCTTATGTTTATTAATGATGTTGGGGTAGAGGGTGTCACAACATTGATTAAATATATCATTTCAATTACTACTATAACATTACAAATAAGATAAACGGTCTACTTATTTTTTAAAATAGTAATGGTTAATCAAATTAGTATATAAAATAATAAAGCAGTCTTTCAAATTATAATTTATCTAATAATTTTTGTCTCTAAAATTATTATAATTGGTTAATTTATTTACTTTTTTTGAAAAAATGTCAAAATAATTATTGAAATTGTAAATCATCAATTCATTTAGATTTTATGATATTAGTTAGTTTGTGTCGTTCAATGGCATATTAAAAATGTTGTATTACTAGAATAACATCTAAATAAATATACATGAATATTATCATTTGAGAATAATGAAAATAACTAAAATATTGGTGGAATAATAATTGTTTCCTCTCCTTTCTATCTTTTTATTCTCTACAATCTACATCTTTATTCTTCCTTTCTTTTTTAACAATGTTAGAGAGGTTGTATCCCTCCAAAGAATTATACATGTTTCACACAAATTTATTTTAAAGATTGTTGCTGTGATATTTTCTCAATAGTTAAATATATAAAAAGACTAATGCAAAGTTAACAAAAAAAATAAAGAATAAAACCAAAATAAAGAAAGAATAATTATTCTACAAATATTTTGACCGGTTTCATCTCTATAACGCGACAATAATATAAATATATATAGTTGATTGTAACTCAAACATGTAAGGTTATCTCTGATAAAGATCTCTTATTTAAGTATTAAAGTGGGGTTCACATCTACACATTACTTTTTTTTTTGTTATTTTCAATTTAAGCATATTTATAAATATTTTTTTTCTCCAATTAAACATCTTCTTTCAATTCTTAAATTAATGGGTCTCACAAAAAATCTTACATTTTTACATATATATCATCAATAATTTATTTATCAATTAAGTAGTAAATTAAGAGATTTTTTATTCTATTATTTTGCAAAATATTTTTTAATAATATAAAATAAAAATACCTGTTTAACTAAATTATTTTTTTATTTAAAATGATGAAATTAACTAAAATTATGCAATTATGACGATATAAAAATTAAAAAATTCAATACATAATTAAAATAATAACTAATTTTGCAACTTTCGCGCTCAAAATGTTTCTAAATAGGGATTGAATTGATTTTGATTTGATTCCATTAAGTGAAAAAAAAAATCAAACAAATAATTAAGAGTAGATAAAATTAGCTTAAGAAGAATTTTAGGGGATAAAGAGTGAAAGAGAAGAAAAAAATTAGGAAGTTGCTAAGTAAAAATATATAATAAATCCTATTTATATAAGTATTGGTATATAAAATTATATTAAAAAATAATTTTATAGCATTAAAAATTTAACATTAATTTTATAACGTTATGATAGTTTTTTTTTTATTTTAAGTTTTATGTATAGCTTTTAAAAATTATATTATAATTTTAATTTTTAATAAAAAAAAACTCAAAATTAAAGCACGATAACTTTTGTAAACTTAAGTGTTTAACCAAAGTGAATCGCAATATAAGATGTCATATGCATGAATCTTGACAAAAAAATTTAGGATCTAAGATCCCGCGTTGCGGAAGTTTTAACATGTCATTGTAGTTTTTTTTTTTTTTTTTAATGACATTAATTAGTAACATTAGTAAATAACATAATGGCATATTTGATTGATGACTTATAATTGTAGAGATATTTTTTTAAAAAATTTTAAAGAACAATTTGACAAATCATATCATTTCAAAGATTATATTGACTAATAATTTACAATTTTAAGAACAATTTATCTTTTATTAATTATACAGATCAATTTGATCAACCATTACAAATCGATGATTCACTCTTAAAATATTATTAAAAGTGTGAAACATATATGACTTACATTATTAAATAATATATATTAAATGGTAAAAAAAATTACATACTAAAATATTCATACCCTTTGCTTGGAAGACAAAACAAAATAATTAGAAAGAGCGTGATACAGAAAAAATAAAAATAAAATTAGAAGAGAGCATGATTTTATATTATTTTATAATATAAGAGAGAAAAAAAAATTTTATATTTTAGATCATGTGTATCTTTTAGAGGAGATAATAATTAATCACGTTTGAAATGAATATGACCACTGTAAGCAATATTCTCTCAAGATTCTTTAACCATAAAATATTTAAAATTTAAACTGGAAGAATTATAAAATCACATAATTAATTAAATGTATCTCTTCTTTCATTTGGTTAGTCCCACTACTAAATTATAAAATCATGTTACATATAACATGTTTATTTTCGATTAGGAAAGAGACAACAGAAACGATTATTATTTGTTTCTTTATTTATCCTCAAGCTTTTCTTCCTAAATTGTAGTTTTGAGTTTCTTATGAAAATCAACGGTGATGGCTCACAGGAAACCTAAAAGGTGGCCTATATATTTCCCAGTGGCACGCAGCATTATGAAGATGATCATTCACGTAATCATCATTCACCTATGTATCATCATGCGTACAATTATTAAAGCATAATCAACCCACTTTACTGATTTTACAACACTAATCCAAGATATTGCCCTTAACTCAAATAAGATCATCAATCTTTTAATCATAATCTTCCAACTCTACCAGATTGGTTACAATGGTTAGTGGGATTTTTCTGGGATTTTCTCCTGCATCGGTCAAACAAGATATATATATTTTAGGGTGACAAATAGTTCTTGCACATTCATTTTTTATGCACAAATTGTACTTACCTCATATAATTAACTAGAATAGACTAATAAAAATAATAATGAGAAAATATCACGATCCTTATGCATTTGATCATTTTTGTAATTAATCATTAAAATTGTCGCATCATTCTCTTTTGCTTTGGAGACATTTTGCCCAAATATGTACCTCATATAATCGTAGCATTTTTGTCTGAAAGCAAGTTCTTCCCATTTATGAGTTGACAGAGTTAACGACCAAAGAAAATAAGAGTTAATTTGACTGAGATGGTAATTCCTCCAACTTAAATAACCACCACGGTACAAAGTGGAACGTAATTTAAGTATGTGTAAAATATTTGCAAAGAGGAACAATTAAATTAATATTTTAAAAAATTAATCTCGCAGTTAAGGGCATTGTATTGAATTGAAATAGTAAGAACACTATAAAAACTATTAGGTTAAGTGATTTAACACTTTTCTTTAATCAGGAGTAGAATTCAAATTTTAGCTTAAGAATGAGTTATACTTTCTTAATGGACAAAAAAAAAAAAACACTTATTGTGATTTTAAAAGTCAATCAAATTGATATTAATAAATATCTGAGTATCTCTTTTTTAATAAAACACTTATAATAAATATATTAATGAGGCAAGATTAAAAGAATAAAAAGTCAATTAAATTATCTGAGTATCTCTTTTTTAATATTAACAGTAATTTTAGAAAAGAAAACATGAACTTAAAATAAATGTAATGGTATTAACCAAATTAATTAACTAGTTTATTTAATTATGGTAAATTAATAAATTGAGCCTTAAAAATCAGAAGTACTTTTGAAATGAGTGTAGGAGATGGATGTTCTTATTTTAAGGATTTTTTATTATTATAAAGATTCATATAAATGCATTCACAATCCTTTCATATTACTTACTAAAATCAGTACGTAGATATGAAATAAAAATATATAAAATTAAATTTAATGAATCTTCAATCATAAAGTTATACTTAGGATAAAATTTTGAAGTGCTTTTGTTGTACAACAATAAATAAATGCATCTTTTCTAGTCACCTGAATTTTCATTTTAAACTTTTATAAATTTGACGTTGAAAAACTATATACGTATTATATATTATTTTTCAAGATAATACAACATGGTACGTAGCCCTTAAGAAATTTGTATAAAAAAAATCATTTTTATCATAACAAGAATCAGCAAGTAGCAACAAACGTAAGTCTATCATTTTAGTCATCTCATTTTATGTTATCACAAGTGGATCCCAATCCATTGTAATGTAAGCATATTTTCATGCGCAAAAAGCATCACTGTTTTATAAATTCGTTTTATTAGCGCGTGTATAAATTAAGGAATTGAACCAATGATAAACAAATAATAAATTAAGTAATATACTTTCATGATTTATCTGATTGAAAATTATTGGCAGAAAATATTAACAGCTATTTTAGAATATCTTGTTGGGCCAAGTGGGCTTGTCTTGGATGAACCTAGTCCACTGGCAGTTTCACTCAAAAGCTGAGACTTGGCAACTGGAAAGTGTAAACTTTGATCGATCATCAAATGTACTCAAGTCAACCAAAACAATCATTTCCCACGTTTTTTTTTATCTGCAAATATGGTTTCATTTTTTCTTCTTCAAAGTATCTATAATTTCATGAATTTTGTTTTTTTAGTCTCAATAATTAAAATTATTTTTAATTTTTATACATACTATTTTTTTTTTATAATTCTTATAGTGGTATAATTTTTTTTAATCCTTACAAAAATAGACTGCAGAAAATAAAAGAGGACAAAAGTATGATATATGAAGATTAAAATCAGATGGTAAAATTTATGAAATCATATGGACTAAAAGAATAATTAAACTTTGCATTAAAGATATCTTTCAACTCAATTCCAACAATTTTAGAATAATTCAAAATGTAAAGATTACTTATAAAATGAGTTGTTTTTGAATAAAATGGAACAATATATTTAAAAAAACATTTATCTCTGGACTATTGTTTAACTTTATGGGTATATTTACAAGACAATATAATGAATCTAAAACCTAAAAAAAGGGTTTTTGCATGCTTTCAAGATATAAAAATTGTCCACAATTTATTAGATGTGGAAGAGTGTGATAAAGAAATGATGGTTGCGATAAAAGAATGATAAAAAGGAAGTAGTGGGAGAAGCAGAATGGAGGACTGGTGGAAGCAGATGATAAGGTGGCTGAGAGAAAACAACCCTTTTAACTCCAAAATGGAGCTAAGGACCCTACCTTAGTTTCTGTCACACACAAGTTGCCTTATTTTTCATTGAGCACTTAATCAAAATCATCTTAATAGAGAGAGAAACAAAATTAAAGAATTATGCATTCTCAAGTGTTATGGAGCATCTAAGCTAAAAAGGGAAAAGCCGTTTGTACCCATCACCTCCCCTCCAATTTCTTTAGTTCTCTAACTCAATTGATGAGATAAATACGTGTGCTTTCAACTTTCATTCATCAAGTTTTTAATTTACATATCCTAATCCTTGCAATCATTATTTCATCTCTATCTCCCGATCATTGTAAATGAAATAAAAAATTACAAGAATGCTCATCAAGATCAAGATGACCATATATATATGTTTAATTATATATATATATATATATATATATATATATATCCGCATCATAAAAGACAAAAACTCTTCCAATTTCAACTCTCAATTGATCCTCATGGGTGCTCCAAGGGCTTCAAACAAACTTGAACCCCATATTTGGGCTTAATTGTGAGGACAACCACAGGGGCATGACGGTAATTTTCAGAAATGGTGAAGCTAAACCTTGAAATCAACATTGCTAATATAATCTTAGCTTCCATTAGTGCAAATGCTTGTCCAACACAATTTCTAGGGCCAGAAGCAAATGGTAAAAATCTTCCAGGGACAAAAGACTTTGAGGTGAACCTCTTAGGGTTGAACTCATTTGCATCTTTGCCCCATAACTTTTCGCTGTGGTGAATGGCCAACACAGGAATCCAAATTGATAAGCCCTTAGGGATATAAAGGTCACCTAGCACTATGTCTTCAAACACCATTCTAGGAAGCACAGATGCTGGAGGGTACAACCTCATTGATTCGTTGATCACCATATGCAACTGAAAAATCAAATAATAAAAACTTTGGTTAGTTGATATTATTATTGTGTTGGCCACGGAAGCCAAATTATAATGCTGCTTGAACTGTATTCATACACATTCTAATAATATTCCTTGTGAAAATTAATGCTGAATCTTTGACCATCTTTTGGAAAATCTAGCATTTAAATATAATAATTACTACTGCACTGTCTGCTAGTACACATGAATATTCTATTTGGTCTTCCGGGCTATCTATCAATCGAAGAAAATCACTAAAAATTTCCAAGTGGGTAGCCATGAACATTGCCATTGAGTTGAGTAGGGTCAACTTATTTTCTTTGTCTCTTTTGGAGAAAAATACAAATGCAAAAGTCACAGATTGAAATTCTGGGTATGATTTTTTGTTTTTTAAAACAAAATTTCCCCTCAAAAAAGTATGACTGTATCGTTATTCTGAAAATGAATGAATATGTTTTAACTTTTGCACCCTTGGACACTCTTAAAAGAAAGAACCATTATAAATATTGTTTAAAATAACACCAACTACCGGCGCACGGGTGCAAAGATGATTCTTAGATAAATTATTTTTTGTTTGTTTCTTTATACACATATTTAGGTTAGACTAAAATATTTCTTAGCTGTCCTTTCTGATCGTCGTGCTAATAATAACTTAAAAGCCTAAGATCAATTAGCCTTTTGGCCAAGAAACTTACAGGCACAATTTTTATAATCCTATTTATTAATCAAAATTTGTTAACTGTAAACACATATTTGTTTCTTAATTTTATTAAATTGCATGGGGCCACCCAATTAAAGTTTTCCTAAAACTGGCTCGTGCAGGGTTTTAAAAGCAACCATTATGCATTGTAGGCTCTATTAAAAGTAATACTTGACACTACTAAAAGTAAAATTATATAAAATAAAAATAAAAAATAAAAAATAAATACTTTTGTTAGGATCTTGCTAACTAAGTGCAAAAGATCCTTAAGACGTTAGTTGAAGAATCAATTTGCTATTTTTTTTATTATCGAAAACTATGTTAAAATGACATGGGGGGAAATACTTTATATATTTTTCAATAAAAAATTTCTACTCTCCATTTCTTAATCACAACACTTATTAGTATTTTCCTCTTTTTTATTTATTTATGAAGATACTCCAAATTTGACCAACCTGCCTCCTCCCTCTCACCCCCTAAAAAGTAGCCTAAAATAACCCTTCCTCTCTTTTTGTGAAATCAGAAAAGGACTTTTTATCTAACCTCCATTACAGGGGAGAGAGGGGGTATAAACTTTAAGGAGATTAATTAAAAAAAATGAAGTAAAATAAGAGATATTTATTTATTTATATATTATAAGAAGAAATTGATTTTTTTTTTCCACCAATATAATTTACACAATATCCTAAAACTGAAAATAAAAAAATTAATGTCGAGAGCATGGCATGGAGAGAAGAAAGTGATTTTTTTACTTACAAGAGTGAGTTTGGAGAGTTGATCCAGAGAGGGAATTCCCCCATCACAAACACTTTTAACCTCAGCTCTGACTCTGTCTTGCCAAGAAGTATTGCTAGCTAGTAACATAACTGTCCAAGTGAGTAAAAGAGCAGTGGTTTCATGTCCAGCAAAGAAAAATGTTTTGCATTGATCCATAACTAGCTGCAAATTTATGCTGTTTCCACTCCCTTTCTTCTTCTGCATCTCATTCAGGAGCATCCCCAACAAATCATTCCCATAAGAATTGCTTCTTCCAATCTCCACACAGTCCTTCCTGCTTTGTATTATCTCCATCAGAAGAGTCTCCACTTCCATCTTCAAAGATTTTATCTCTCTGTTGTACTTGCTTGGAAAAAACCTGTGCAAACAAATTGAGTCCTTAATTGATATTGACATCAATTGAGAAAAAGGGTAGGGGACAAGGAGAGACAAATGCTAGCAGATAAAACAACAAAGATGGAATAAGACCGACAGAACTATAATGCAAACTATGGAATAAGAAATAAGAATGTGATTTTGTGATTATTCACATGCTTGTGGATAAAAAAGCAAGGAATCCACTGAGATTAAAACACTGGCATTTTTATCACACACTCAAACAGACATAACATGTACAATTAGAATCACAATAATTCTTAATCATAGCGCGTGTTTGGTTCCATGTTTCAGATGTGATCGTTCACGTCCCAGATGTGAAATAAAAAGCTAACAGTATATAACTTGTTTGGTTTCACGTTTCATATGTGATTTTTCACGTCTCATTGCGTGTTTGGAACAACATCACAAAATCACCTCAAAAGGTTCAAGTGATACAAAAGTTACTTCATATCGCTAAAGTTAAACATGGAGAGAGTGATGATCTGCGTTGTAGATTTAGTTCCAAACCCACACTCTGGATGAGAGCATGAAAAGCTAATAGTCATTACTTTCGCATCCTAAACGTGATTTATTAATTCTCAATGGGTTGTCAAACATGGTATGAATATCTTTTAGAAAAGAGATTCTAAAGCCACAAACCTGCTTCCAGGAAAGCATAGATGACGACTTGCTTGAGCACAACGACTCTGCAGCAGTGTGAGGAGGTGGAATATTTTCTTGCCCTTCTGGTAACTGGTGCCAAACTCAGTCCTAGAGATAATATCCGCAGCAAGTTTAGTCATGTAGTGACCAATCTCCACCTCAGTTTGGCCACTCTCAAATGCAATTTTCAGTGATTGGAGCATCTCCTTAGTGCATTCCACCATGTGCCCAGCATAGCTCTGTGAAGTTATTTCAAGATCAACCATTTGTAATCATCATCACAACCAAAAACAAAACAAAGAATTTGAAGAAGATAAAAAGGGAGACTCCAAAACAGTGAAAAATTTATAAAAGAGTATCAATACCTTAAGTCTGTCTCCCATGAATGCAGGGGCAACGATGTGACGTTGGTGGTACCAATCTTCACCATTTGCCATCAACAGTCCTTCCCCAATGAAATTCTTTGAACCCTGTCTCTGCTGCCAAGATTTCCCAGATACTGTGCTGTATTTAGAAAGAAACTCTTTGATCAATTCAGTCTCAGTGAGGCACAACCTTGGTTCTGTACCATTCCAATATAGGAACCTCTTTCCTGATCACACACATGTCCAATCATGGTATAATTAATTAAACATGATAATAACAACATAGATCATATTTCATTATATATGTAAGTTTATTAAATATGAGACACACATATATTTATTTATTATGTGGGTGCATACCAAATTGGCTGGACCAGTCTAGGAAATGTGGGAGAAGACGACCAACAATGTCATGGCTTATGGTTTTCATGTCTTGGGAGGTTGTTTTGGAGACAAGGGAAGCCATGTCTAGGATGTTGCCTGTGAAGAAACGAGGTTTAGGGCCATGGACACCTTGCATCTCCATGATCTTTTTTATGCGTAGAGGGGTGAGCCAGTAGCATGAGAGGTTGTCATAGAGGAGTTTAAGTAGGAGAATAGCGAGTATGGCCAAAAGGGGTGTGAGGACCACCATAACCATGGTGGTAGCAGTAATAGTAATATACGGGGATATGTTGAAGTGAAGTGAGGAAGAAGGTTAGGAGTGATGGAGAATTTGATGCGTGACTCAACCTATATATAGAGTGGGAATTTGATTGGCATCGCTTGCATTTTATATATACTAAACAGCTAGTGAAGCCTACAGTTTGGTTTATTGGTCATGCCAATGTGTTTTTGTTCTTGCCGATGATCATCTTTCTTGCTTCTGTTCCTACTTCAAGAGAATTTATTCGGCCATGCTACTTGTTTTGTGCAATTGATAACCCGCTAGTGCTACTACTACAAGCCTTCTTTCTCACCAATAAGGTGCATGTTATAGTTGAGTTTTTTGAATATGCTGTCATGATTCAATTTTATAGTTGTGTTCCTCAAATATGTTCATAGGACTTTGATTTCTAAAATCGTAGAAGACTTTGTTAGGAAAGACAAGTTCGACTTTAATAATCTCTCTCAAAGGAAATTAGCCTTCTATTATGCTTGAAGAATTACTTACTAAAGAAAAAAAATTACTTATTATCAAAGATTTAATTACTAATTATTTATTTATTTATACATGTATATATACAAATCTGTTTTAGTCTTTGGAGTTTAGAATTGTAGAAACTAAAACAGATTAAAAATATAATGTATATAGGAGCTAAAAACGAGTTAAAAACCCTTTTGGGTAGGGACTAGAATAAGTAATTTTTATAATTAGAAATTAAAATGCAAAATTATTTAAGTATAGAGATAAAATAAGTAAATAAACCTTTCAAAAAACGTGTCACGGTCTTCTTATAAATTCTAAGACGGTAATGGGAATATCTCAGCGCAAAGAATGTTGTTGTACGTGCTCAATGAGAAAACAAAATTGACCAAAAAATAATGACAACATGAACCCGCGGGGAAAAATTGAATATGTTCTTATGAACTAATTTTTAAAACAAAACCTGGACTGCGAAGTATAATATATAAATATAATACTATGGGGCTGTGTAAGAATACAATTTAGCTTAAGTTCTTCGAAATTTTAGCATTAAGTTCTCAAATTAGATTGCTACATATAAATAGATCATAATTGGATTTTAAAATATACTTTCGAGGGTTTTGATTTATGATTATGTGAAGAAAATAATTTTATTAAAAGAAGCAAAACTCACTCATGTTATTTGTATGCTTAAAAAATAATTAATTTTAACTGTCTCCTAAGTAATAGCCTTAAGGCGCAAAAAATAAAATGACATGTATTATTATTTTAATTTAACAATAGATTTTTGAACGATATTCAAGAATAGGACATTATTAGAATTTTTGTTTATTCATGTAAATTTTGTATAAAAATTTATAGGAAATGTTATTTTTACAAACTTTTTTTATAAAATTTTATCTCTAGGTAATACCTGTGTAGATAATATGTTTTTGCAAATTTTAAAATTTGTAAGAAATTTTCCTTCTTGTGAAAAAATTTGCAGAAAAGTTTCTTGCGAAATTTTTTGCAAATTTTTTCGCAAGAAATTCTGCAATAAATTTTCTTACAAAAAAAATTAAAGAAATTAATTCTATTAATAATTCTTCAATTTTTAAATGCTCACAATAAATTCGTCCGAAACTAGGGATGGCAATGGAGCCCCATCGGGCGGGTAATAGTAAAATTAGTAAACCCGTCACCGTCCCGCGGGATGAAAATTGGCCCCATACCCACCCCATATCCGTGTGGGTATCCATTAAGTGAGTATCCATGAATTTCTTGAATACTCACGGATATCCATGAATATTTATAAATTTTTTAAGAAATTAAAAAGTTTATATTAGAAATAATTTTAAGTTTATATTTAATGTCATTGAAATATTAAAAATAAAAATTCAATGTTAATTTTGAACTTGTATTTAACGTTAATTTTGTTGAAATAATAATAAAAATGTAAGATAATCAATAATTTAAAATACATCAATCTCACAAGTGAAGGTCTCATATCAGAAAGCTACAATAATTCAATTTCATAATTCCAAACAAAAGTAAGCAACTTAAAATACATAAATCTTATTGTGATGACTAATGTGTGGGCTGTGCAGCTATGGAAAGAAAATAAGATAAGAGAGTGTAGTTTTAGGGTTATGTGGTACAAGGATAATTAAGATATTTAAGAAATATTATTAAACGGGTACCCGCGGGTATGAATATCATCATACCCGCCCCTGCCCCGTTTATAAACGGGTAAAAAATTATCCGTCCCCATTATCCGTGAGTACCCAATTAGCTTATCCATTTATTATTTGTAGCGAATTTTATCTACAGATACTCACGGGTTCGGATATTTTTGTCATCCCTATCCAAAACATTAAAAAATTTGCTTTCACGCTCCAATATATGATGCATAATCTTTTAAACTCTTAGATTGTAAATTATAGGTTTAACACTCGGTCATACAAAATTAACTTGTAAGGTGAGTATTGTCCCAACTTATCTACTCTTTAATTGTTTTATTTTTAATCGATGTGAAATTTGATATTTTCTTTAAATATTAATTAGATAATGTCTTTAGAAAGAGAATTAATTTATTATATTGAACTACAACATTATATTATTATAAATTATTTTAACTCTTAAAATATTCAATATTCTAAAAAAAATTAGTTTTTTATTAAATAAATTTATTTTAAAAACTATCATTAAATTAAAACTCATCATCATTAATTTATACATTTAATTAAAATAAATATTTAATTTATTAATATTTTAAATTAAAATTATTTTTTTATAAAATATTTATAAACAATTTATTAAAATAATATTTTATTATGTAAATACTTTTAA